AACGGGGTCTTCAAGAGTCATGGGCCCGAACCCTTTTAGGATTTTCTTAGTCTCACTGAGTCCTACTTATAGCCAAAATATGGAGTCAAACGGCGTCCGACAGTTGGATAGGTTCCCTCGTCAGCTATTGAACTTTTTCCTGTCTGGGATATTCACTTCTGCTTCCCAGCTTTTGATTTTGTGAATACTTCCTAGGACTTGTCCATTCTTCGAAGAAAAAGGAGGATTAACGTTTAATTTTACAGACTATTACCGGAAAAAAAATACGATGAGAGCGAATGCAAGTACTTATAACTTTTTAGCTAAAAGGGCTAGAGACCTGCGGTTTTTACTATTACAAAGAGCAACTCGTGGGCAAAGAAGAATTTTCCGAAAGTTTTTACAAGCTAAATTCGGCGGACGAAAGTTGGGAAAATTAGCTTATTTTTCAAAAAAACATTATTTTTAATTTTTTTCACTTTTGTATGAGAATAGTAAAAAACATTGCTGTACTTCGGAAGATTTCTGGAAAAAGATTTCGAGGAAGCAAAATTTTCGGGTCCGCAAGTCTCTAGTCCTTTTAGCTAAAAAGTTATAAGTACTTGAACTCGCTTTCATGTTATTTTTTTCCAATAATAGGATTTTTTGTGAAAACTTTCTAAACTTTTTCAGTAGTTGTAAACTCCATGAGTATATTTGGGAACATCGAATATTAAGCTATTTGCGGCGCTTACAGCTACTGAGACATATTGATGAATTGTTGTGAAAAAATTCACCGGGTTTATAGAAGAGCAGATTTCTTGTCCTTTGATCAGTTTGTTGTTGAAATTTTATTGCAGGTAATACTTTACATCCAATAATGTACTTAATTGAGGGAGATATTTCACTAGTTATAGTAATGATTTTGATGGCTGATTATCATAGGTTTCATGTCTGTTAACCTCGTGTTTCGGAATATTTATGCATGTATTGTTTGATGCACATGCTCTTATTACTGATGCACCTTTGTTTCTCTAGATATACAGCCGAATGGTGGTGTGTGAACATCATTGTCACATATTAATAGGGATGTTTTCTATGGAGGGTTAAAATAGGTTTCATCTTTCGTTTTATAAAGAGAGTTTTCCTTACAGCTGAATTTTTTATTTTTTTAAAATGTTTTGAGAAGTAGTTTTGTCTTATAGCTTGATCTTTACACCATTTGACTCTCGATAGTAGTTCCAGTTAGTGATATCACTCCTGTAATGGCATTTGTGAGGTAATCTTTCTGGCATTACTTGATAAAAAAAGATGATACTATTCCTAATAGTCCTCGATTAGCAATGTCAATGGTTGAGCTATCTTTCTACAGTACTGGCTCACAGATAATTTCACGTAAAGGTCGTAGGAGATCCTGACCACGATCTAAACTCACCGATGACAACTAATGGAAGTTCATGGTCGAATGAGGAGTTATCACGAGGAGACGACTTGATGAATCAGTTAATAAACGAAAAGACAGTAAAAGATTATAGAAAATCAAGGTTAGTTGGAATGAGAAAGAGTAAAATGAAATTACATACGAACAATAGATCTTCACAAAACAAACGACATTATCGAGAAAAGAAGTCTGTGGATGTTAAAACGGTTTCTTCTCCTATTGTACTATGTTGATAGAAAAAAACTCTGACACAGCCATCTGACACAGCCATGTCCAAGTTGGGCTATTTCAAAAAGTAATATATGATAGTGACGGTATAACTGAAAGACTATTAGCGTTGAGAGGATCATTCTGTTACCATTTGATTCTTCAAGATGTAAGCTACATTTTGACCATAAATGTTAGCCTTTCCTTTGTATACAGCGAGCAGACCTGCGTAGAAACACCCAGTGATAAGTTGAATCAATGTGCATATAAATTAAAATACTAAAATCTAAACTCTTTTTTCTTCTTTTAAACTATATTATCACGTATATAATACTATTTTACAAAAGTTTGCTGTTTTTGGTTTTTCTGTACCATTTTTCCTGTATTAGTATCTCCTGATAGCTATATGAATAATCACAGTAAAAACAAATAATACGTTACTTGTTCGTCGTACACATTTTTCTTTACCTAAATCACATATTGTAATGGTTGTTTTCTCTGGTGTTTCTCTCATTTTTTTTATTATTTGAAAACACGATACCTATTGTTTAGTGTGCTCAATAGCAACCTGTATAGAATTCTAATAGCTTTAAAAGTTTATTATTATACCAATCTAGTTTACCAAAATACATTAGTTAAATTAATCATCTGAGCTATTTTCCTTTGAAAATGTGGTTTTTCTCGAAACCTGAAAGAATATGAAGCCTACTCAGCTACTGAACATTTCCTGTTCTGTCATTAAGCATCACATTTCTATTCCAAGTCACTATTTCAGCTAAATGTCACACAAAAGCAAGGAGTCAGTGAGGACAGCTCTTTGCTAAGATAATATGTAAGTTATATTTTCCTATTGGATTTTGTTTCCAGATGCGTGCCATAGATACCGTAAAACCTCCATGATAAGATCTAGCAGTGATGGTCCCAAAACATGCTTGTAACAAAATACAGTTAACTACAGTTCATTTTTTAATACTAGGTTCTTATCAAGTTCCTTTAGTTCAGCCATTATACATTTTGAACATACATCACACCCATGTTCAGAGCAGTCGCAATGCCATGAATCATTCGTATAAACATTCCAACAAATGTTACAATAATACTCTGCCGATGGATAGAGACAGGTTCCTTGTTTACATCGACGTTCGTTCGGTTTACGTAATTTTAATTCATGTCCGGCCGAACACTTTAATGCTTTATAATCTTTTAATTCGGGCTTTGTTTGCAGTAAGTTTTGAATTTCTGCTTCAGTGGAGGTAGATGTTTTACCTTCTATGATTTCAGATGTTGATTGTTCATTTACTATAACATTGTCTTTTACTGTTATTCTAGTATTCAGCACTTTGGGCTGTTGGATACATATTTTAGTCGGCTTTCGTTTAAGCTTGTTTTCGTGTCTGTCGTTCTTCTGGGCAGGATCACCTAATGGTATTGCAACACGTTTAGAAAAAGTGAATTTTTGTACCGTCAACAATGAATCCATCTAAAACCATTGTGAGAAGTTCATATTTTGTTCAAATGTTTTAAAGAGAGATAAGCATGGTACACAGTCAGTATATGACTTTTTATCTAAGAAGGCTTGGTTCAAAGTCATCCTTGAGTAATCACACTGAATTAACCTACCACTGTGAACAATCCGAACAAAAGCAGCATGTACGAAAACAAAGAAGTGTTGTTGTAATTAGAAAACAGAAGAACAGAGTGCAGAAGTAATAATAAGTTTCATTTCATTGCATACACCTTACGAAAAAGAAATGCGATCAAATACAACGTAAAAACAGAAAACTAAAAATCAATGAAAAAATACACTTACAAAACGTGAGTTAACATTTGTTTTTCAACATTTCTCATAAAAAAAAGAGCTTACAGTACACTGTTAGATTATAGCAGCAAGACACTGTTTCAGAATAAAAGTTCAAGCTATCATCTAGACTGCTATTCTCTCATCAAATGCTATTGACGGAGAAAAATTTGATTGATAGATTTTTTTCTCTCAAGTTCCTTATCTACCAGGACACACTGAGATATGTCGTATGTGCTTGATTGCACAAAAGTAGAAAATGTATCAGGTTAGGAAATAACTAAACGAAGAGTCACGTCTTTGATTATTGATCTAATAGCGTTTGGATATATAGTTTGTTGATTATCTTTGATAGTCGAATATGTTTTGTGATAAAAAAAGAAAAACGAATTTTTCTTCTCATTTTTTGTTTTCCAATTTATAAATCGTCCTGTAGGTCTTGTCCCTGCTGGTTTGTTCCCTTTCCTCCAAAAGATGCTAAAACGTCGAGTGTTTCATTGGTTTAAATCAAATTGTTGCTATTTTCTCCATGTCTCTAATATATATTGAATTACGTTTGCACCTATAGTTACGCCCCAAGAGAGAGACGGTAGGAAAAAAATCATACTTAAAACGATGATAAAAGATAACGCTCGTCTGCATTCGCTCTTTTCGTTAACTTTAGGAACTTATATCTGCGTAGGAACTTCAATGACTTTTAAATCCAAGATAACCCTTCGTTCGCAGCCAAGATAGTTGAATAATGTTGTGAGCAAGTCTATCGGATACTAAAGCTCATGTTACCTATTTTTGCTGAAAACGGATGGCCAAGGATCATCCTGTGCCATACAGGATCGCTACCTTTGACTATGAATTGATCTCGTTGAAAGATGAATTTTATTGCCTAAGCATGTGGAAAGGCTACAACCGTACCATCGACAGTCAGTTCTAGGCTCAGAAGTTGAGGTGAAATAATCCGAGTCTCTCACAATGCATGTAAATATTTATATTGTATAGCTGTGCGCGTCCTTTTTTTCTAGATTTTGCTTGTTGTTATATTGCAGTGTGTAATCTCGCTAGATATTCGAGTGCATTATGTAACACTGTTTCATCACTCCACTTCTTATTTTTGTTGCATATAATGTTATTTTGTACAAGTTACTCTTACAAAAATTTTGTTCAAAAAAATACTTAATCTTCTTGTATTTTTACAAAAAAATACTTAATCTTTTTGTATATTTACAAAAAAAACATTACTAATACAAAAATGAAACAGGTCGTTGCTCTTTGATATAAATATAACAATGCCACTGAGAAAAATTCTTTGTTCTACATCTGATTACGACCATTTAATTAATTTTTATACTAAATGAAAATATTGCCGGCTGATGAGTATTTCAAGAAAATTCTTTTTGATATGGCTAAACACCTGTCTTTATTACACACATCCAGTTAATCGAAGTCCTTTCATTCGGTGATCAAAATCTTGCATTGATTCTAACATTTGTTCTAAGGGCTAAAGAACCTATTTAGAAAAGAAGAAAGCGAACATAGCCATTTGTGTTCGGATAATGGTATGGAGCGATGAACAGTTTTGTTTCAAAAAAACATAATAAGGTAGTAATACCTTATTAAACCAAAAATACTATGTGCCATTTGCATTCATTCTAACGCAAAAAATTCATCCGTTTTGTGCAAATTCGGGCTAAGGGAAGCCGTCAAAATTCACCGAAAATTTGATTGGAAAGAAAATTGAAAACAGTATTATTCAGTATGCTTGAAAAAAAGAATTTAGAACTGTCGTATAACTAGATATGGGCGGGACCGATGATTTTTGGTCCCGGTTCCAGTCCCGGTCCCGTGCAGTTGTTTCGGTCCCGTCTCGGTCCCAGTCCCGTAAACTTGTTTCGGTCCCGGTTCCGGTTCCGGTCCCGTGCAGTTGTTTCGGTCCCGTCCCGGTCCCAGTC